CATCTCAAAAGCCAGCTTGGTATATTTGGGAATTTGGGTGTAGCTTCTCTTACTACTTCCTGCTGAAGGGGGGTGCTGTATCTTATGGGGACACAAAGAAAAATTTAGGATTATGGAGTAGTCCGTGAGGGTGTATTGTCTGAGCTAGTTGCCTTGAAACGGTTCTGGATGTTGGATCATGTTGTGAGGACTGACACAGGACCCTATGAATGTGAACCTGGAAGCCAGTGAGGGACTCCCATGTAACCCATTCACTCTGAACATTACCTGTAAGTATTTTCTGTTTCATCCTGGCCACAACTGCCTAAATACAGAGGGCTAGATCTACCACACTCAGTCCCAGTCCCCTTGGGTTCATGACACAGACCTACCATACAGATACCTGTCAGGGCATCCTGGCCCAGCCCAAGCACATGTAGACAGGCCCAGCATAGAGCTTGAATGGGCTGCAGGAACTTTTACTGCCTAGAGAGGTTGAGGGTTATGTAAACAGGGGACATGTCAGACTCAGGCTCAGTGCACACATGAGTGTGCAGAGGGGATGTTTGTGTGTTGTGCTTGAGATAGATCAGGGCTTGTGCATGCTGCATGAAAACTCTTCTACTAGTCTGACCTAAGCTCTGGGTAGGACCTGCTCAACTAAGGTTAAAGCACAGCTCAAGAGATACTATGGCCTTCTACAGACCGGGATTTCCCCTTCCCTCAGGTGACATCACATGTGACTTTATTCTGTTTGCTCCAGATGATCTAGGTGCTCCTATCACATCCCCCTCAAATATTCATTTCCATTCAAGGACAAACATTAACCTTTTCTACCACACAGATGCTAACCCACCTGCACAGTACTCTTGGTTTGTCAATGGAGAGCTCCAGTCATTCTCCCAAGAGCTTTTTATTCCCAACATCAAAACTAATGATAGCTGCTGTGGATATCACTCTGTATAAATAAAATGCTGATTAGCCAGTAACCAGGCACGAAGTATAGGCAGGACAAGCAGAGAAGAGAATTCTGGGAACAGGAAAGCTGAGTCAGAGAGACGCTGCCAGCCGCCGCCATGACAAGCGAGATGTAAGGTACCAGTAAGCCACGAGCCATGTGGCAACTTATAGATGAATAGAAACGGGTTAATTTAAAATAAAAGAAGTAGATAAGAAGCCTGCCACGGCCATACAGTTTATAAGTATTATAAGCGTCTAAGTGATTATTTTATACGTGGATTGTGGGACTGTGGGGGCTTGGTGGGACCTGGAGAGAAGCTCTCCAGCTACAAATGGTGCCCAATGGGTTGGCAAGAGTTTCCACCTAAAACCTGATTTAAAAAAAAAAAAAAAAAAGATTTAAAAAGGAGCTAAAAACAGTTCCTAGTTGTCTCTTTCAAGTTAGCGGCAGCCTGCATGTTTGAGCTACTATGGCGGGTTCCTGGCGTGCGCACTCAACCTGCATGCAGTATGGCGGGAATGAGGCCTCTGCAAGTGGCACATTAAGCTGCGTGGTGGATTTAGCCTTTGCTAGTACAAAACAAAAAAAGAGGTTTCTGGGCTACACACTGCTTTGATAGAAGCATAGACCCACTATTTCTGAGGGTTGATGTCTCCCAGAGCTAAGCGGAAAATGTACCATCACCATGTTGGGAAGCTGAAGTGGGCAGAGCCAGCAGCCACAGCGCCATTTCAGTCTTAGAATGCTGCAGTTTAAAGCAATAGGTTCAAGGTAATATAAAAAATAAGCCACAAAAAGATGGCTATCACACAGAGAATCTGGATTTTGTTCTCTTTGATATTCATAACTGAAGAAAAACATTTGATTATAAAAGTTGTTGAGTTATGCCAAAATGTATATTTTAAATGTACCTTGAATTCAAAATTTGGATATAAGGATATGTTGCTTTGGAAAAGAGGCTCTGCTTTTGTTTCCACAGAAAGCCAGAGGCTATGGATTTGTTCCAGATTAAGATACATCAGGTTTGACCAGCCAAGACCCCCAAAAAGGTCTCCCATGACACCAAGTAAAGTGAGAGTCCTGTTGTCCTTCAACCTGTCCTCTCCTGAGAGGGTTTGGTCATTTATCCTCCACAGGTAGGCTGTATTGTGAGTCTTAGGATCACACACTAATGCTACTGAGTCATCACCGTCCAAGGGATTGGAATTGTTGGTTGTGATGTTGGGCTTGGGTAGCAGTGCTGTGCTGACCACAGAGAGATGATTGTCATGTGTGGTACTTCTGATTCTTGCAAAGGCCTCTTACAACCAGAGATAGTCTCGTAACTCCCCAACAACCCAGATCCTTAAAAAAATCAGGCAGGAAGCAAATTACATGTCTAGGTCCATAGAGTAAATGAGTGCTCAGAGATAATGGGGTCTTCTGTGCTGTGCATGGGAGAAGCAAGGACTTTCTCATGAGTGAACTGAGCTGCAGTGCTTGGTGATTCCAAGCTCAAGACTTGGAATCAGAGACCTCATTTTATCTCCTGGTCCTCACTGACCCATTGCCTGCCTTGAGACACAAGGTTTGAGTCCCTCCAGCTGTACTGACCTCCACTGCTGAGTGTAGACCTGTGCCCTCCAAGACTCTGTTGTTCAGGGCTGTCCTATAGATAGGTTATGATTAGTCTTCCCATTGAGTTTCCCTGAGACACCTGACAGCCTGTCAGAGATTTCACACAGATCAGGATAACACTGGCATTCAGGTCGGGCTTGGCCAGGTTGGCCATTCTTGTCAGGTGTTTGATGTTGATTGACACGAATCAGGGAACCCTCAAAGAATCTGAGTCTATAAAATGATCTAGAAGACTGAAGGTCACCTGGTAGGTCTCCATGGTGGGGAGGCTGGAGATGTGCCTCTAGACAGATAGTTTGTGCCACCCATAACCTATGTGACCCTGACTCAATGACTCTGTTTCCTGTCTCAGTTTTCTTATAATAGGACACATGGTAAATGCTCATTGCCATGCCTGCACGTTAACCTGAAATGAGAGCAATGACCTGACCTACCACCAAGCAGTGTCTGTTGCAAATTTTTTTTGGTTGGTTTTTTTTGGGTTGTTTGTTTGGTTTTGGTTTTTGGTTTTTTGAAACAGGGTTTTTCTGTGTAGTTTTGGTGCCTGTCCTGGACCAGGCTGTGGACCAGGCTGGCCTTGAACCCACAGAGATCTGCCTGGCTCTGCCTCCTAAGTGCTGGGTTTAAAGACCACGTGCCTAATGTCCATTGCCTTTGCCTGCAGGGAAAAATCCCCAACCTGGACCAAAGGAGGACAAGGAGCTGCCATTTCTACCCCTTTTCTTCTATCTCTTTAGCCTCTCGAATTCCTGAGAGGTTTCAGAAGAACATCAGAAGAGCTGCCTGATTGGTTTGGTACCTCTCCACCTGTGCTGAACACATTGAGTCTCAGGAGATGCCCAGGCTCCCAGCCAACAATCTATTATTTTACCCTGTCAGTTCCAACAGGAGGTTAAATTCAAACCCAGTCTACAAGTTTTCAAGGATTCCTGGTCCAATCTGGTATGGAGATCTGGAGCAAAGCTTCCAGATGCTCATCTCTCTGTGAGACTCTGATGGTTTCCTCAGCCAGGCCCTGCCTGAGTCCTGAAGAGTCTTCCTCAAGGACAAGTTCATGATGAACATCTAACACCCTGGGAAGAGTCTAACATGCCTGAGCTCAGTTACCTCACCGCCTCTTCTCTGAGGGTGGATTCAAGTGAGGCATCCCGATTTATTGCCGTTTTCTCCACTGTGTGTCCTTTACTAAATGTTTGAACCACAATGTGGGGACCATAACACAGAGCCATCCAGGACTGACAACCATGTATGTGAAGAAGTAGGATGAGCTGCACCCACCACCAAGAGGATACAATTGTTTATGGTGTACATGGAACTGCACAAATGCAACTCTTATGTCACAGTTTTCCGACAACATGTATATTACTTTAGCTCCTGCACCTTTCTGAGTGACGTTCTGGGTGAGCAAGGATCCACTGGGGTATACTGTCTCTCTGCTGCTGTAAGCAGGCTCTGTTTTGCTTGTATTATTGGACATTATAAATCCTGCAATTTCATTCCTCCCAACCACAGATTCTTCTTTGTACCAGTAAAACAAAAGGACTGAGGCTGGCAGATTGTGTACACGTAGAACTTTCTTCTCTTCAGCAAGGTGGGGTGGAACTGCTTCAACAGCGACTTGGGCAGTGGTGGGAGAGGCTAAGAGGGAAGAGAGAAAAATTATCAATACCTTTGCATTTGGTAGAAATTGGAAACTTGAGTGTGATCACTCTCAGCCTTGGTGTGTGTGTCCTGGTGAGGGGAGGTCAGCAGCATCACCCCCATTCATCAGTACCCCCTGAATCTTTCCACTGTATGACACTTTTCTTGGTGTCTACACAGCTCACGCCTCACTGCCCTCAGATCTCTACTCATACTCAGAATCCATGGTGAGTGTACCATGTCATGTCTGATCTCCTCCTCTAAAGACTCTGTGCCTTCATTTTCTGACCTTTCCCTGCTCTGTTTCTTCTGAAGTGCTTGTCAGCCCCTGGGCTCACCTTCTAGATGTCCTTGCTGCTCTGTCTTCCTGTCCAGTAGTAGTAGGGATGTGTGAGGAGGACTAGTTTAATTTTGGTTTAAACCTCTCTACCTCGAACAGGCTCAGATACCAGTGAGCAAATGAGTGTCCCAGAGCCTGGGGTTTATTTGCAGATTTCTCAGGGTCCTACATAATGATGTTGTTTACTCGCCCACTTTGAGTTTGACCTGGAGAGTCACCCTGATGGAGTTGTCAGCTTGAGTCTTCAGGATACAGTGGCCAGTGCTGATAAATCTACAATGGGGAACAACTGAGTTTTTCCTCCCCACTTCCCAATTCCGATCCACTGTGAGCTTCCTGATGGTCTCAGGCTTCAAGTAGAGCCAGATGTCATTTCTCAGGCTCTTTCCCTCTCCCAGAAGACCCCATCCAGTCTATGAACTGTCCAACTCTCTACTCCAGAGGAAAGTCTCCTCACCTGTGAGCAGGAGTCCCCTCCAGGAGACCTGTCCTTTGTGGAGAGGGGCTGAGGTGAGCTCCATGGTCTCTATTATGGCCTAGGCTCTTCCTCTGGAGAGGAGGTTTATCTCTCAGGCTGCTGCCAAGCTGGGCTCCTGTGGTGTCTGCTCTGCTTTTCTTCCCAGACCTCAGCCTCCTCCCAGAGGAGGGCACTTCCTGGAGTCAGATGGGCTGGGGGTGGAGTCTCTGTGTGTACATTGCTCTGTTCTTCTGTGAGTGCTGCCTCCCATTCTTTTATTCCTTTGTTGTTCAGTGTTCTAGAACATACTCTGAGCCTCAAGGCTGAGAAATGTCCTGTGTCCTAAGAGAACAGCAGCTCACCCCAGAGCCTTGTCTCTAAACTTCCTATAGCCAAGAGTGTACTTCCTTGAGACTCCAAAACCTAGCAGAGCCCAGTCTGCCCTGTGATCTCAATGCTCAGTGAAGGTGGGATTTATTCCCTGCAGAGAGTGGCAGTCTACTCTAGGCATTGAGTGATGACTGGGGAGGGAACAGATTCATCATCACTGGTGCCACCAGTCAGGTGTCTGATCCAGGGATACACGTTATCTCAGGGGTTCATATCCTGGTGTGAAGGAGGAGGCGACCTGTGTGTCCTAGAAAGAGGACCCTGTGCTCCAGCTTCTTATGGAGGGCACCAGGGAAAGTTCCTGACCCCAGCTTCCTGTGCTGGCTGAATGTGATTCAGGTCTGCCCATGCCCTCCTCGACCTTCTGGATTGCCTTTGCTCTCCTTGGTGATTGCCCTGTGATCTTCCTGTTTTTCCTCATGGATGATGAGAGGAGGGAGGGGACCACATAGGGTTTTCTTGAAGAGTGGGGGTCTCAGAGACACAGGAAATGATTATGTGAGGGAGCCTAGGTCTGTTGGAACTGGGATGGAGACAAGGCTGCAAGATAGGTTGTCACCTCAAGGAGTTTTCCCTGTTGAATATGGGGTTTATTGTCGCCCCCTGGTGTTCATGAGGAGACCTGCAGCTCATGTTTGGGCTACTACAAGGATGGTAGCCAAGCTCCAAATGCTGGAATGAAGCTGAACACCAAGTTACCTGAAGGTCCCAGTGAGCAGCAGCCTTTGAGGATCTAGGTAGATTTTTGCTGGAGACTAGAATAGCTGAGGTAATCACTGCCATTTTGATCTGCAGTTCCATGAAGACTGATGATGTTGAGCCCCCTTTCCCATGTGTGTTTGTTAGATTTTTGTACATCTTGCCAGGACAGGAATACTGAACTCCTTTGCTCACTCTAAAATCCTTTTATCCCAACTTTAGATTTTAAAATAAAGTACATTCATCCACCCACAATAATACATTTTGGAATTACAACATAAAATGAAAGCAAAGCAAAACCTAACCCTGCAAGCTTCTCAGTGTTGGTAATTCCTGGTGTGTTAGTCTTTTGAATTCCCCAAAATTCTAGCCCTGGAGACAAACTCGCTATGGTCACTGAGAGCTGAGTCTGAGACAGATCTGGAGCAAGGCCTTCCTTCCAAGCAGCCACCTGTCTAATGAAATACCGGGTCTCATCAGCCAGACCCTGCCTGAGTCCCACAGGATCTTTCTGAAGGCCATGTTGGTGGGGGAACCCCAAGAGTCTGGCTGAAGATAGTCTTCTTTTTGAGTTACCCTTCCACAGGTCCTCCTCTCTCTAGCGCAGATTCTGGTGGGTGTAACATGAATTGCTAAATGGTCTTATTGATAGAAAACCCAAAGCCAGATATTGGGGTGAAAGCTGAAGGATCAGAGAAGCAGAACAAACCAGCCATGTTCTTACCTCTATGAAATCCTCAGTCTAAAGAGAGAGTTCCTGTTTCCTTGTGCCTTATTTCTGTGTCCACATTACTTCCTGGGATTAAAGGCGTGTGTCTCCACTGCCTGGCTCTGTTTCTATCATGTAGCCCAGTGAAGCTCTGAACTCACAGAGATCCGTAGGGATCTTTCCCTCCCAAGTGGTAAGATTAAAAGCATGTGCTACCACTGCCTGACCTGTATATTTAATATAGTGGCTGGCTTTGTCCTCTGATCCTCAGGTAAGTTTATTGGGAGTACACAATATATCACCACAAGTGGGGGTTCTGACCTTTGCAGTTTGTCTCCTAAGTGTCCTACACTGTTCTGGAATGTGTGGCCCCTGGGAAAAGACCATAGACTCAGCCTAATTATAATTAAAATATTTACTCAGTAGCTGTTAGAAGGACAACAATCTCTGAGTTGTGGTGATATTTTGTTTGCGATCTAACAAAGTTTGCCTGAAGATCAGAGTGAGGAGGTAAACCACTAATTAGCCATAGAGGCCAGGCAGTGGTGGTGCACATTTTTAATTTCAGCACTTGGTAGGCAGAGGCAGACAGATCTCTGTGAGTTCAAGGCCACCCTGGGCTACAAAAGATTGATCCAGTCTAAAAGAGAAACAGAGCCAGGCAGTGGTGGCTCATACCTTTAATCCCAGCCCTTGGGATCTCATGCCTTTAATCCCAGCACTAGGGAGGTGGAGACAGGAGGTGATATGGCTGGGCAGAGAGAGGAATATAAGGAGGGAGGAGACAGGAGCTTAGCTTCCATTCAGTTTTAGGATTCATAGAGACAGGATCTTCCCCGCTTCCACCTGAGGTAAGAAGTCTCTAGTGGCTGACTCCTTTGTCTTACTTATCTCTCAGTATTTACCCCAATATCTGGCTCTGGGTTTTTATTAAGACCAATTAAATTCAAGTTACATCTGGCATCCAACTTTCAGAGCATTAATTCACAAAGAAATCCTCTTGCCTGTGGCTTTACAACTACTGGCACAGGCCAGAGCTACACATGGTCAGAGTTACTACCCTGCTGATATTTTCCAGACACTGAGTTCCCTCTCCTAGTGGGTTGTGGGTTTTCCCTGGACCCCCTCCTCTAGCTGCTGCCAAACTAGGTAGCTGCCTTGAAAACCCACTCAGGCTTCTACTGTTCATGTAAAGCAGTCAGCCTCACATCCTCACCATCATCTGAATCAGCAGCAGCAGCAGCAGCAGCGGATTTAGTGAGAAAATTGAGAATTCTTAAAAGAAGAAATTAGTTAAAAAAGAGAGGTTTTTCCCCACATTAAAAAACTGGAAACACTATTATGATGGAAGAAGTTAAGTCTCTGTATGATAATATGCTGGATGGTTTAAAAATGGAGCAATTAAATGAGAGGATAATTAATTCAGGTGGGATTTATATAATTCAATTATAAATATTATGTTTGATCATTTTTGTTTTATTATTTTAAAAGTTGGTTAATATGAGTGCCGAAATAAAAGTTTTAGAAAAACTTATTAAAACAGATCATAGAGATATTCAGACCCAGACAGAGGAATTTAAAGGAGAACCAATGTCAATATTGTACTATAAAGTTGTGGAGTAGCAGCCTAAGGTTTTCAAACAGCCAACCTTAATTTATCCAGCAACTTTACAGAAAACTCTAAATGATAGACATCCTCAAGTCTGTGTCAGAGATGAATGAACTCCTGTGAAAATGTTAGATTTAAGGACATTCAAGGAAGTGATAGTCTCATATGGCATGCATTCATCTTTTGTGAAGCAGATGTTAAACTCATGGTAAACTTGTAATAGAATTGTCTCTCAAGACTGGAGAGATGTGGTTATAGCTGTCTTGGAGGCTGGTCCTCAATTACAATGGAGGATCTAGTGGAAAGATGAGGCTAAGACCATTAAACAATGAAGTAGAGCTAGTTGTATGGAAATCTCCCAAGACCAATTTCTTGGAGAGAGACATTATGCTAATGTAGAAAGGCAATCTCTATATGGTGATCACACCCTGACTTTATACTGTGCAGCAGCCTTGAAAGCTTGGGATAGAATTGAAGACATAGGAAAGAAAATTGAATCATTTATTAAAGTTATGAAAGACCCAAAAGAAACCTTCACTGATTTCTTACAAAGATTGACCTCAGCAGTAAATAAAATTATACCAATTCAAGCTAAACAAACAATAATTGAATCTCTGGCTTTTGAAAATGCTAATGCACACTGCAAAAGGGTAATTAGGCCATTGAAGGCAAGATCAGCACCCTTGGAGGAATGAATCCGAGATACAGTCAATATTAAATCTCATAACCCTGATGACACTTGGATAGGAGAGATGATTTCCAGAGATTTGAAGAAAAATTGAAATGTCAGGTGTTTCAATTGTGGTTTAAAAAAAAGTCAACTAAAAAGGGATTGTAAACAGGACATTTCTAGAAACAATGTTTTTTCTAAGAATAATCCCAACAGAATGCCCCTCCCTTCTGGAGTATGCAGAAGATGTGGCAAAGGCCTATATTAGACTAATGAATATAGATCAACAAGGAACAGTCAAGGTAACCCTTTGTTATCAAATTTGGTTCAGTCATTTCCTGTCATCATGGAGGAAACTCATTCCCAGAGCAATTAAAGAATCTGACGCCTATTGTAAGAAACCATACTGCTCTGGATGATAGAACAGCTTTAAAAGGGAGAATGAAAAATTCAGGAGAAACCATAAAGTGAATATTTTGGCAAATTTCTATAAATGAATGAAGACCAAAGTTAAAAATACAAATAAATGACATCCTCATTGAAGGTCTTGTAAACACAGGTGCAGATGTAACTAGAATCTTGGCATCCAAGTTGGCCTCTTCAGGAGGTAAATGTTCAGTTTTTATGGGTTGAAACTTTATCTTAGGTAAAACAGAGCATGATATGGGTCAAATGAATATGGCCAGAAGGACAGAGAGGAAAATTAAAGCCAAATGTGGCTAACATAGCAATGAATTTATGGAGATGTGATTTGTTACAGCAATGGAATACTCAGATTAACATTCCTCCAATCTTAGAAACAAACCATAATTTAACGTATGTTTCTAGGAAAAATACTAGAAGATATTATAAAGAACAGTCACCAACCATTCAGATTGTACAAGAACAAGACATAACAGCTGCTGATCTTTCAAAGGCACCAATATCCCTACCTTTAAGACGGTTGACAGATGAACCTGTATGGGTTGAGCAATGTCATTTAACAACAAAGAAACTGCAGGCCTTAGAACAGCTGGTACAGGAGAAGATAAATGCTCAGCATATTGAAGAATCAACCAGTCCTTGGAATTCTCCTGTATTTGTTATTAAAAAGAAAACTGGAAAATGGAGAATGGTAACAGATCTAAAAGCTGTTAATAAGGTTATTCAGCCAATGGGCCCTATACAGTCTGGAATTCCTTTGCCTT